AGCTTCCCTCTGTCTTTTCTACAAATATTTTCATAGCAACTGCTCTGACAAGCTACTTTCACTGGTACCCCAACTGCATGAATTTAAGCATGCAACTAAGTTTACATCAAGGTCCCACCCTTTTACTGTCAAAACCATTAAATGTAACCACCTCTTCTAATACAACAGCTGCTTCTCTCACACTTCCTGACAGTGGAACTCCCTTCCTCTTAATTGCTTGCTTCCCTGATAGCTATAATCTTCAAATATTCAACTGTAATGTCAATTGATATTTTCTGATGCCTTGATCTTGATCCTGCCCTTCTCTTTATCCTTTCCTCAAATCTCCCTCTTTACTCTTACTCTCACTCTATATAACCCCTTGTATACTAGTTGCACTCCTGCCTTGCTTGGGATGAAATGCTTACAAAAAAAATCTCTAGCAATGGATTGTATGTATGACTCCCACTTATGGTTTAATTATCATGGGAGTAGGTGGCACTGAGCATTGCTATGTGGGAAGAAACTGCTTGGGTGGAATGGGGGTGGTTTGCTACAATGTACATAGCAAGGTGGGGCTCAGCCATGAAGATTAAAAATGGTGGAACTAAAGAATGTAGTTCATCTGAGTATTTTCCATGAAAATAGCGAAAGAGCAGTGTGAAGCTTGCAATGTTTTATCTGTTAGAAAGAGTTATAGGGTGAAAAATAAATTATCACCCACAACGAAGCGGAGATGCATTTCGACTATTGAAACTGAAAATTGAGGACTGGGCAGCTGCCACCCATATGTAGCAGCAGTAATCCATTTTCAGCCTGATCTGGCTCTTGTAAATGTAGAGGATAACACAAAGAGTTAGGTACTGGAGTGGTACAGGGAATTGACCATTTTTCCAGCATTTTTAGCTATGGAATGTATGTAGAGGGTTACAGATTAAGAGACACAGTTTATAGGGAAGATAATTGTTAACCCTAGACTTGAACAGGTCAAGATTGTAACGATCAGGGAAGCATCCTCTTGGGACTCGGTTCCACAGAGCAGTAGATCACAGGAAACTGCTACTCTAGTGGAATTTACTTCTCACCAATGGAATACAGAGGGAATGAGGGTGGTTCGTTACAATTCACGTAGCATGGTGTGTCCTAGTCATGAATGTTAGAACTGGTGAAACCAAGGAATATAGAACCCTTTCCATAGAAGTAGTGATAGAGCAGTGAGAGACTTGCAATATTTCGTTTATGAGAGAGGGGTTGCAGAGTGGGAAATAATTTACCCCTACAAGGACATAGAGACACTTTTGAACTCTACCGAGATTGGAAAGCAAGGATTGGGAAGCTCCTGCCCAAATACGACAGTAGGACTCCTTTTTAGATCTAATCTGGCTCTTGTAAAGGTACAGGATACCAAGAGGAGTCAGGTACTTACTGGAGTGGTACAGAGAACTGACATTTTTTGTGCAGCTTTAGCGATAGATCATATGTATGAGCTCCACTTGAGCTCTGGTTTGATTTTACAGACAGATAGGTGCTCAAGGCTGGGTCACCCTGAGGAAATATCTGTTCATTGTGATTGTTGATAGTTCAGGTTAAGTAATAACACCAACAGTTTTTGTTTCTGTCAATTGTCACAAACTAAGGAAGGTCTAAAGAACGCTAATGTACAATGTTTTTTTTCCCAAAAAATATTTCCCTATTTTTTATAAGTGTATGTAGTGACCCCAATAGTTTTTGTTTCTGACAAGTGTCACAGCCTAAGGAAGGTTTAAACAATGCTAATGTACAACAATGATTTCTCAAAAATGTTTCCCTTTTTTTTACAGTTGGACTAGTGTATGTAAGTAGCAACCCCAACAGTTTTTGTTTTTGACAAGTGTCTTAACCTAAAGGTCTAAAGAATGTTAATATTCAAAAATTGCTTCCCAAAAGATGTTTCCTTATTTTTTATGAGCAGCCCATTGTATTTAAGTAGATCTGAAGTACCTGCCTTGTTTCCTGCTATCAAGCAAATATTATGAAGAGGGTACTTGAGTTAGCTAAATTTAAGTCATGTCACAGCTGTTGCAACCATGTGAGAACAAAACTGGTAACATCAGATCAATCCCATCATGCCCTGTGTGCTATTAACAAATTAAAAGTCAATAAATTTGACAAAAAGGACAGGTAGAAAATACCACTGACATTATGATTACATTAGTTTCTATTTTTAATTTTTCTTCTATTCACTGACTGATGATAACCAGGTATGTACTTAATATGTATAAAATACAAGGTTACACCTGCCATAAAAAATTATGACATATTTTGTTAAGTTCTGTAGATTGTACCAATAAAAAAATAAGATTGTAATTTCCTTTAAAACCCTTATCTCTTTCTTTCTCTTTCTCTCTTTCTCTCTTTAAGCTTTTCTCTATATACTTCCCTCTCAATTAATGAGAGGGTAACCTTCAAATAAAAAGATGAAGAAGAATAAAAAGAATTCAAATTAAAATAAGGCCTAAAAAACTTTCCTTTAAAACCCTTATCTCTTTCTTTCTCTCTCTCTTTCTCTTTCCTTCTCTCTCTACTTTTCTCTCAACTAATGAGAGGGCAACCCTCAAATAAAAAGGGGAAAAAGAAGAAAAAACTGAACCCGGCTGAAAAATGATGGAAGTTTGTGTGATTATAGCACACTTATTTATAACTATAAACCTACCAAAATAAGACAGGCTCTGCACATAAATTCTGTTATATAAAAAAAAAATGAAAAAGAAAACATAAGGAATGCTGGAAAATAAAATAATTTGGGCCAATCAAAAAGTTAACACAAAGAGACTTTTGATGTTAGCTGAAACCAAGCTTTGAACCAGAGTCTGGGAAGCTGGTCAAAAGGATATAGGCCAACAGCTCTGGGCTAAATAAGCTGAAGTGATAGCAAGAGAAACCACAGAACAAGAGATGCAACCACCAGAGAAACCAGCCATGCATGATATGTGAAATAGTTAAGAGATCATCTGCTAATGATATTTTCTGCCCTTCTTTGGGCTGAGAAAAACACAGTAGATTGATGCTGACCTATTTCTAAGATAACTACTAATAGCAAAGTTTGACTTCAAAACTACCCAATACGTAGCCCAAACAGACTTTCTCCAGACTGCTACCAATATCCTCCTTATAAATGAACATGTTGCTACATCAAATATCAAAGGACTCACTTTAAATCAAATAAATAAAAATATATTATTTATTTTATAACCTTCAGACAGTTTGTTTTATTTCAAAAGTTTCTGATAAAATAAGCACCAAGACTTTCTGGTACATACCACAGTTCCTACTATTATGAGAATGTTTTCATATGTGAGTCTTTTTCTATTTATATTAATATGTAGTAAATCAGAGGGGTCAGTTTATTAATTAATAACAATAAAATATTGAACTTTCACTTGATTTGCAAATGGGTCTTCATATATGTTTTTTCTAGTTATATTAATAATTATCATATTGTTTTGTGTATAATAAAACTTGAGGCTTACAACCATATCATGTTGAAACACCGGTTCCTGTACAATCAATGTTGAGCCTGGTCATTACCTTGATTGATTTTGATTGAGTGATATGTTTGTTTAATGGCACATCAACTACTTATGGGTTATTTAATGCTGAAATTTAATTTTCTTGGGTGCTAATAAAAATAGGATATATGTTATTCTGCTTTCACAATTGAATACATGGTAGATGATACTCAGCTTTTGTGCATATACATTTTTGTGTGAACATAATAATCAGAGATATTGATGTATGTGTTTTATGTTATATTTTGGAATACAGTTTGATTTCTTTAAGAAATTGTTGCATATTATATGGATTAATGTAATGAAAGAGTTCTTTCATGGTAGTTTTTTGGTTGATTTTGTTTAGTGGCATATCAATCTCTATGGGTTATTTACTGAAATATAAATAATTTGAATGCAATTGTATGCCTTCAGCTACAGATAAAATGTATTGCTGGTCCTTTTATATAAAAATGTATTGATAGTATTTTTATTATAAAATGTATTTTTATACTTTAATAGTGTTTTGTTTTTGTTTTTTTGGGGGTGGGGAGGGGGAGTACTATTTACTCATAGCTTGAACCCTAACAAGTGCTACTACCCTGAGTCAGAGTGAACTTGGGAACAACAGTAATTAAGGGGTGGTTTCATGCCCCTCAAAACCTCCAATCTCTCAATCAGAGGCCTTACTGCTGGATAGAGTTTACCATCATACCCAGGACTCCAGTAGCTATATAGGTAACTATTTGGAGATACCAGGTGATGTAAGCTTGGATATGCAGGTGGCTATAGCTAAGAAAATGGCAACTTACCTCATCAAACCAAGCTGAAGACAGAATATTTAAATTAGAGACAAGTCAGTCACAGGAGTCTCTATAAAAATATTTTGATATGCAAAAATTGAACGTCCTCTCCCAGTTGTCGATGAATGGAAAAAATACTATAAAAGCAGTTGATGTTCTTGAGTCAGGGGAAGAACATAAAATTTGTGTGTTTTGGCTACCATGGTCATCGGAGAGTGAGTTATTCTTCTGACTGGTTACATGCATTGTGATTTGTGAGATAGTACCTGCGAATTGAGTTTTCGGCATTTCTTTCTGCTCCCAATATTTGAGTCTGAACTTACAGTGATTTATTCTCTGTGTTGTGGAAGTAATCTGCAAAAAATATTTCCTTTGCAATCCCAGAACGCTTACAGTGGCAAAATGGATAATGGCTCAAAATTCTTAATCAGAGAGCTGAGTTCCAATTCCCATTGGGTTCAATTTCTTGACTTATGCAAAAATACCCTTGAGAAAAGTATGAATCCATTTCTTCTCTCCCCAGCTATGGGTTAATTAGTGAGATTTATATCACTAAACAATTATTAACTCTCCCTAAAAAAGTCTTACAATCTAAAAATATTTTTTGGCTTTAAAATAACCTGCAAATGGTTGATAAACCATAGAAAAGGAATGAATGAATGAATCAATCAAAAACTTGGGACTTACACCCACATCATGTGGGAACACCAGTTCCTGTATGATCACTGAAGTTAAGCAACATCAACCCTGGTTAGTACCTAAATGGGTGACCGCTTAGGAATACCAGGTGCTATAAGCTTGGATGTGTGGGTGGTGTAATGGATAATAGCTTGGAATTGTTAATCAGAGAGCTGAGTTCCAATTCCAGTTGGGTTTGTTATATTCACTTACATGCAAATATCATTGAAAAGGTATGAATCCATATCTTCTCCCTCCAGCTATGGGTTAATTAGTAAGACCTGTGTTGCTATAAAATATATATATTTTATATATTATTATGATTATTTTTATATATTATTTATTTTATTATATTGTTATAATTATTTTTATATATTATTTTTTATATAGTATTATTATGATTATTATTATTATTATTATTAGTAGTAGTATGTAATTTGATTATTAATATTAAATTAATATTAAAAAATTAATTAATATTAAATATATATTTTTTTTATTTATCATTTATAAATTTTTAATTTTAATTTTTAATTTTAAAATTTTAAAGTTCTAATTTAAATTTATTTTTAACCTTTATTATAGTTGTTATTAATATTATGTAAAGATTTTTTATTTTCTTTTTTTAAAATTTGAAAATTTTTTTAATAATTTTATTATATTGTCCTATGTTAACAGAACAATTTATTAATGGGACTAATGATATTAATAATAATTATTATTAATATATCTTATTTTATTCCTAGTTTGCTGGTAATCTTTAATACTTTATGTATTAACTATAAATTATATTGATGTACTTTACAAATGTCACCGTGATATGCCTACATATGATAACTCATTCTTCCTTCTTCCTCCCCACTCCCCTGCTTAACTTTCTTTCTTCTTCCTCCTTTTTCTCTCTCCTGTTTTACAATTTGTCTTCCTTTTTTTCTTCTTTTTTATTCCTGTCTAAAAATTATTTAAGAGGTCAAATAACTAAGTTCACTTCAACCTAAGTAAATTATTAACTGAGTACACTTGAACCTAAGTAAATTATTAAAGATGGTTTAAAAACAACCTGATCCTTACTTTCCATTTCTAATATAGATCATTCTATAGTTCTCCTCCTCCTACCACCTCTGTCACCTTATATCAATCTAAAACTATCCCTCAAAAACTTGTATTAAAAATAAAAGGAACCAAATTCATTTGTAACTAGAGATGTGACCTGATGAACCAGGAAAAATATATTTTCTGGGGAAATAAATTATAGTCATAGAACCTTAAGATTGTCTCTTCCATAATTTAATATATATATATTTAAAATTTTTTTCATGAAATCACAATTACGCTGGACATTTCATATATTTATATGCAAGACAACAGATTTCCAAAAAAATGCTCATGTATGGTCAACTTGACAATGGTCATCGAAACATGGGTTGGCCTTTTGCTTAGGTAATAAGGGACAGGCTGAAAAATAACCTCATTAGCTGCAAATATAGATCACATTACCTTTGATAACATTGTAATTGATCGTAATGAATGGAAGATTTACATGCTACAATGGCATCAAGAACAAGGCAGCATCAAACATTGTCAAACTTTTTTTCAAACTAGGGAAAGGAATAAATAAAATTTTTGCTGTTCATTTATCCTTCAGATATAATATCAAGAATCCACATAAAATTTGCACAATAATTTCATTGGACTTTTTTGCAAATCACTAGCAGGACTGAAATGTCTTTAACTCACACACAAAAGTTAAATAAACAAAAGTTGTCGGAACCTCATACCTATAAAATTTTTTTTCGGGAGAGGCCATCATATATATATGCTTTGTAACTAGAGATGTGACCTGATGAACCAGAAAAAATATATTTTCTGGGGAAATAAATTATAGTCATGGAACCTTAAGGTTGTCTCTTTCTTAATTCTTTAATTAATATTTGCTCTGGTGTTACATTGAGCTCTCTGGATTACATCCTCTTTGGAATTATTTATATGGATTACCAAACCCTTCATTACCTTACTATATCTATATATAATTTAGCTCTTGAAAATATATTTCAGTTGGGCACTGCTGAGTGATAAGCTAATTCTATAAACAACAGCCACCTGTGCTAATGCAAAGCTCTTCAATAAAATGAATGAAGCACTTCAGCTGATTGGCATTTGTTTACATTTGTAAGAACAATATGCTAGATTTAGCTGTGCAACTCTGCCAAGTGAAGATAGCTCAATGGTAGAAGCTCTGACAGACACCAAATCGATTGGGTTTAGATCTTAGCTTGGGGCATTTGGATGTCTAGTTGCACTGAGGAGCTGTGAAACAGTACTGTCTGCAAATGTCACACACAATAAATGTATGTGCAAGTATATCGTAGCTGTATGCTACTTTGTTCACATGATCATGGAAGACACAATATTATTTTGGGACTTTTGCCCTTTTCTTCATTGCATCACCCCACTTTCTTTTATGCAACGTAACAAGTTTATTTAGATTTTATAATCAACCACATTTATCTTAGTTGTTTTGTTATTATTAATAAAATCTAAATACTTCTTTTGAATATTCCATAATATTTTTAATACATTATAGCAAATAGGCATTTAATTTTTAGGTATTAATTACCTATGTATTAAGTTTGTCATTTTGTTGTTTTGTCAGATTTATGTCTTTTATTTTTATATTTTTGTGGGCCTCCTGTGACTCATCTTTATTTGGCTGCACAGGCCATATCTTATATTATATTGCCCTCACCCTCCAGGGGGTCTGCAACAAGTGTTCACATATATATACCTATATACTAGCTTAAAAGCCACCCTATCAGGCAGAATTTAAGCTAACTCTTATGGAGGGTTCTTGATTTGATCTTCATCACAATAGTTAAGGAGGAGTAGATATGATAGGCAACAATAAACTACAGAAGAACTCAAAATTGATCACTGTATTTAAGTATTGCATTAATATTTAAGCTTACCTTTTAATGGTTCAACAATAATTCTTTTGCTGCAACTTAATTTAAAGACAATTTGATGTACGTAGGTCCTTACTTTCAAACAATTATTTTTATTTCATGGGTGACTTTTGCTGGATTTCACAATTAATTTTGATTATTCCCAAATTTATTTCCAAGTTATAAAAACTGTTATCATACAAAAAAATTTAGCACAAAAATTCACGTAAAAAAAACCAAAAAAACAATCGCAGTAGGAAAAACTTGGGAATCCAAAATTTCAGGATTGCAGATCCAGATCCAGCTTGGAATGTTTTTAATTTTCTCATGGAGTCAGCCTGATTCCAAAATGCTATGACATGTTGAGATATGGCCTCTAGGAGTAAAGTTGAAAACATGAACAATTTTATTTTGAAACATTGTAATTTGAGAATAGTAATTTTTTCATTTGAACATGTGCTATTGAAATTTAGAGAGTTGTGTCCCTTTTATTGTTTTTCAAGTAGAAGCCAAGATGGCAGATTCTGAAAACAATCACAGTGATGAAAATTTGGGGATTCAAAATTTCAGGATTGCAGGTCCAGATCCAGCATCGAATGCTTTTAATTTGCTCATGAAGTGGCTTGATTCCAAAATGGTATATGTTGGGCTACAGCCTCTACGAGTAAAGTTGAAAAAGTGTGACACACTGACATTCGCATTTATTATATAGAGATATATCCTTTGGTGTGAATAAAACAGTGCTCAATGCAAAATAACAGAGCTATTAAGTATATATTAATAAATATAGATAATACTCCATGCCGACAGTACTAGGGTATTATGTATATTTATATTTTCTGTTTATACGTTATTTTAATACATACAATTTATTTAAGGAAATGCTCTGCTTATTTTTTTTTTAAATAAACTGTATTAATCAATATTTGAGAAATTTCGTAGAAGATATGTTCTTCTCTGACAGTGTTATAGTGGAACACACCTATTCTATAGTTAATAGACTCTCCCACCTATAATAAGTAGGAGTAGTAGGAGTCACTCAGTGAGTTGGTCAGTCAGTCTGAAGTCGGATGACCGGCTGACCAGTTGAACTCTTGCCTTCGGGCGGGGAGGAACCCGAACGAGGCTATGCTGAAGGGCGGAGTCTCTTTCAGGGAGGTAAACCGACCCTGAATCCGTTTATATGGGCTCAAAGGGCATGTTTTTGGCCGAGCCCACGGGCTCAAAGATCCCATGTTAAACCGGCCTTGTGCCACATGATGCCCTCGTGGGGGGGGGAATAAATACCGTTGGTCAGTCAGTCAGTCTGAATTCAGTCTGAAGTGGACGACTGGCTGAAACTCTCTTACAGGGGAACATGAACGATCTTTAGACTGAAGGTCGGAGTCTCTTTCGGGGAGGTAAACTGACCCTAAACCCATTTATACGGGTTTAAAGGGCATATTTTTAAATTCAAGCAGCATCTTTATTTTCATATTACACCACTCTCATTTACACAACTTAGGGATGAGTTTAAGTATATGTATGTTACTTCACTAAATTTGTGGTATTGGGAATTCATATGTTTTTGAACTACCCCATTTTTCCATGTGCTTTTTTCTGTCATCAAAATCCAGTTTTAATAAATGCATCGTCTGCATTACCATACGCTGGTCATGCAAAGTGCCTACACACAAAATGGAACATCGCATCATGTTCTTGCGAATATTCGGCCCATTGGTATTTGTCTAAGCAAGCATTTACAAATGACTGAGCATAGCTCTTTCTTTCACTGTGCTTGGGATATTCTTGTAATTGTGGATGAATTGGATTACCACCAGCAGATTGGGATATGTCAGCTGGTGCGGTATCATTCTTCTTCAGTTTTTTAGATGAATGTCCAATAACAGTTGCAGAATATTCAGTATCTGACTTCAACATTTGTGCAGATACTTCTGCATCTTCAGCATCACTGTTTGTTGTTGAGGTGCATTTTTTATAATTCAAAAGTTTAACCATAATGCAGTGTTGTGCTATGTTTTGTAAAAAGATGCTTGGAAATATAACTGTGTTTAGCTATAAGGAATCGAGTATGAGAGAAAGAGAGAAAAAGACTTATGTTTCGCTGGAACATTCGTTTAAAAAAAAAATCATTTCAATGGTCAGTGGTGACCACTATAAATAGGGAAAGAAGTT